TATGGATCAAATGCAGCAATAGCAAGATTATTTTTAAAATGGACTTTATATTTCCCATCTTGGAAAAATATATATAAAATCACAGAAAATTAGGGTTGGAAGGAACCTGAGGAGGTCATCTAGTCCAACCCCCTGCTCAAAGCAGGACCATCCCCAACTATATCATCCCAGCAAAGGCTTTATCTAGCTAGGTCTTAAATACCTCTGTCCCAGGGGGATGAAAAGAGAGGGGTGGAAACCCATCTCCTGTGGTCGGGGCTGTGGCAGGGATAGCTTGCTACAACCCTGAAAAAACAGCCTTGCGAGCAGGGTGAACTTACCTTTTTCAGAGACTATGAGCCAGGGCGAGCCACAGGGGAACAAACCTCCCTCATGGTTCATCAGCTGCTTTTCTATACAGCCTGAACCGGTGCAGAAGGATGATGTCATCAGGAGACGCCGCCTGGCTGGGTTAAAAACCAGCAGCGGGGAATACTCAGGGGGAACGCAGCAGAGAGGAAGGTGCGAGTCCCCCTCTTGGGCCAGCCACCAACCCTGCTGGTCCCGAAGGGAGAATCCGGTGGTGGACTTGGCAGGGGGTTCACTCTTTGTCAGAGAAGTACCCAGCACTGGGCCCAGGGAGTGAGCTGGGACCTGGGATCGTGCCGAGGGATGATCGACGCCTGGCAACGGAGGACAGATGAGTAGGGAGGAGGCCCAAGGCCCTCCCTGAAGTTAAATTGTTCAAAGTTCTTTTTTGTTCTTTTTGAGGCCCTGTAGGCTGGGGAAAAGGCCAGAGGATAAACACTGGGGGCTGAGCACACCGAGGCCCCTCAGGGACTCCCAATATCACAGGGCGATCCACCAGGGTTGACTCTGTACCCAAGAAGCCCCACTGGGGTGGGGAATTGAACTGATTCCAGATCCACGGCAGGCAAGCCGTGGACCATGGCCAATGGGAAAGAGGCAGCTGGCCAATCTGTCATGAAACCAGACCTCCAAGGTCAAGAGTGCGAAATCAGGGATGCCGGGGCCTATGGCACCAAATCTCCAAATTGAATCTACCCACCCCTACTCCGGCGCAGGCTGGGCAAACTCCAGTCCAATATCCCTCCCCTCCCTTCTCCCCACTTCCCACCTTGCAGACAACACTAGGAGTGGGGCTGGGCTGCATCAGCCCAGCCACTTGATCAGACTTAAGTTAATGAAGGTGATCAGCTTTGGAGCACCTTCATCTGAACCATCATATAATGAGTGTTAGTTTGTTGTGTGATTGGGGACTTTAAAGTGCTTTGCATCTGTGCCCTTCTATATGGGCATGGCTGTAGAGTGCTTTTAAGGAATCAATTGTGTGACAAATGTAACTTCTGGCCGCACCCTTAATGTTGGGGGTGGGGAGGAGTCCTTTTTTTTGACTTTTTAAAAACATCATTATACAAATACTAAAAACTAAAAGTTGAAAATACAAAGGTATGTAGCCTTCCCAAGGGCTGAGTATGAAACACTTATCAGTGGCAGACAATACCATGTCACTGGAGATTGAAACCCCATCCCCCATGCTTCTAATGGGGTTATGTATGTAGGGACAGTTGTCTGTCTTTCACTTTGCAGAGGGCCTCCCTGATGGCCCAGTGTGACACACAAACACTAGGGATGTGCAAAACGGGCTGTATTTGATTCAGATTCAGCCCAAATCAGGGGCAGTGATTTAATTAATTGATTTGGATTTCATAGATTTCATAGATTTCATAGACATTAGGGCTGGAAGGGACCTCAGAAGATCATCGAGTCCAGCCCCCTGCCCAAAGGGCAGGAAGTCAGCTGGGGTCATAGGATCCCAGCAAGATAAGCATCCAAATTTCTCTTGAAGGTGTTCAATGTAGGTGCTTGAACCACCTCCAGTGGCAGGCTGTTCCAGACCTTGGGAACTCGGACAGTGAAGAAATTCTTCCTTATGTCCAGCCTGAAATGGTCTTGTAGGAGTTTATAACTGTTTGACCTCGTGATCCCTTGGGGTGCTCTGGTGAACAAACGTTCCCCCAGATCCTGGTGAACACCCCTGATAAACTTATAGGTGGCCATCAGATCACCCCTGAGCCTGCGCTTTTCCAGGCTAAAGAACACCATGGCTTTCAGCCTGTTGTCATAAGGTCTGTTTTCCTGACCTCTGATCATGCATGTGGCTCTTCTCTGGACTTTCTCTAGCTTCTCCACATCCTTTTTGAATTTTGGGGACCAAAACTGGACGCAGTACTCCAGCTGCGGCCTCACCAAGGCCAAGTACAAGGTGAGAATGACATCCTGGGATTTGCTTGAGAAGCATCTATGGATGCAAGCCAGTGTTTTGGTCGCTTTACTAGCCACAGCATCTCACTGAAGGCTCATGTTCATCTTGTGGTCAATGATGACCCCCAAGTCTCTTTCTTCCATAGTGCTAGCCAGCGTAGCACTGCCGAGCCTATAAGGATGCTGCAGGTTTTTCTTCCCGAGGTGGAGAACCTTGCATTTTTCAGTGTTAAACACCATCAGGTTCTCGTCCACCCATTTGCTGAGCCTGTTCAGGTCAGCCTCGGTCACCTTCCTGTCTTCAGGTGTGGATGCTTTGCCCCAAAGTTTGGTGTCTTCGGTGAACTTGGCCAGTCCGCTTCTGACTCCAGTGTCCACATCATTAATGAAGATGTTGAACAATATGGGTCCAAGGACAGAGCCTTGGGGGACCCCACTGGTCACAGGACACCATGATGATTGAATTCGATCAGTTACCACCCTCTGGGTCCGACCACGGAGCCAATTCCCCAGCCAGCGGATCGTGGTGTATCCAAGGCCACAGTTAGCCAGTTTCGCCAAGAGGTGATCATGGGATACCAGTTCGAAGGCTTTTTTGAAGTCAAGATATATGACATCAATCTCTGTTCCCTTGTCCAGGTGATAGGTCACCTGGTCGTAAAAGGAAATGAGAATGGTCAGTCAAGACCTACCAGCAACAAACCTGTGCTGGCTTTCCTTCAGGATGTTGGCATCGGCCAGTCCATTAAGGATGGCCTCTTTAATAAACTTTTCTAAGACCTTCCCTGGGATAGAGATCAGGCTGATGGGCCTGTAGTTTGCCAGATCCACTTGCCTCCCTTTCTTCAAGACAGGCACCACATTGGCTTTCTTCCAGTCTTCAGTTTTGCTGCCTTTCCCTGAGATGGACTAGAATTAGCTTGTGATTGAGGATCGCTCCCTTAAGGAGAAACCACTCTTCCTGAACTCCTCTCCCCCTGGGGTAATGGTCCCTTAGGGCCTGACAGACAAGCCTCCTGAGCTTGTCAAAGATGGCTTTCCTGAAGTCAAGGACTTCTGTGTTGCTGACTGACTTGCCAGCTTTACGGCGGATGGTGAAGGCGATCAGCTCGTGGTTGCTGTCACCCAGCTTCCCATCAATCACTAGGTCGCCGATTAGGTCATCCCCAGTAGCCAGTACCAGGTCGAGCAGTGCTTTACCTCTCATTGGCCCGTAGACTTCTTGAGTCAGGTAGAGGTCATCCACACACGCTAGGAAGCTTTGCAACCACTCGGATTTTGCTGAGTGATCCTTCCACGAGATGTCTGGGATGTTTGGATCACTGTCCCCAATTCAATTTGGCTGAATCCAAATCTGAAGATTCAATGCTGATTTGGAGACTCAGCGATTCCGACATAGACACAGCTTTAAATGTTTTTTCTACATAGCTTGAGGAACCAGGTGTGGCTCATGAATACTGAGATGGTGGGGCAGATGGAGCATCCCACAAGAGCATGGGGTGCCCCCCGCATGCTCGGCAGTGAACCTGGAAGTGGATTGGAAGTACTTCTGGTCCACTTATGGGTCCATCAGGGAGTGTACTGGGGCCCTCACCTGGGCCCTCCTGGCTCAGCTATTGGCCATGGGGGAACCCTGGGTGCCCACCCAAACCCAGGAGCCACCAGTCACCAAGCTGGGGAGGTGTGGGAGGGCCCCCCAGCATGCTCCCTGGTGGACCCGGAAGTGGACCAGAAGTGCTTTTGGTCCACTTCTGGGCCTGATGCTGAGCATGCTGGGGAGACCCTCACACTCTTGTGGGATGATCCATCTGCCCTGCCATCTCAGTGTTCATGAGCTGCTGGGTACCTTGAGGTATGTAGAAAAAACGTTTAAAGCTTTGCCTACGTCTGAATCTCCAAATCTTTCCGAATCTCTCCAAATCGATTCAGAGGGTTCTGATTCAATTTGGAGAGTTTAAAGGGTCTCCTGATTCAATTTGGAGATTTGGCCACCAAATTGGGCTGAATGTCCACCCAATTGAATCAGGGACCTACGGTTCACACAGCCCTAACAAACACATTCCGTTCTAAATGAAGTGTCAAAATTCAGATGTAACATGTACCCAGATGAAGAGGTGAAAGAGTTGGAGTGCCTCCTTGGAGAAGACCCCTGTAAAATGGTTTCTGTGGCTTTTCAGCATTGCCATCTTGGCCTGGCCTAGAAGGAAATTGGCCAGGCAGATCACAGTCACCTTGGCTGCTTGGCATGGGATAGAGAAGATGTACACAGTTTCAGATAATTCCATGTCCAGCAAGCCAAAGAGGGTGCTGAGGACAGCAAAGAGCATCTGTATCTGAGGACAGTCCAGGAAGGTATGGAAGAGAGACTATTCCACCTCCTCATAACAGAAGGGGAATGCTGCTAGTGCTTCCAGGTCTAAGTGGCAGACAGAAATGCACATGGCCAGAGCCCTGTGCAGCAGCTGCCACTAGAGGTCTCCAGTTCTTTTGGTGATGGGTAGCATATACAGGGTGTGCCCAGCTGAGTAGGCTTCCTCTGGTGTTGCTGCTATTAGCTGCTGCTTCCCGGTCATGTCAGGGCAGGTGGTGAAGACATGGGCATGGTGCACTTTGACTGTCAACATGTGAAGTGGCTTTGCAGACAGGATCTCAAAGCAGATACCACCACTGTTCTCATTAAGCATGGTGAGGGACAGCAGAGTTCAGGGCCTGCCACTCTCATTGTGGTCCATGGCCAGAGAAACAGGTAGGAATAGCTGGGTTCTGTCTAGCAAGCTGCCATCAGGGTAGGTTTGTGTGTGGAGATGGCCTTCTAGGGTGGCAGATGTATCTTCAGATAGGGCACCTTTTACTTCAGCCAAGAGGCATGAAGTAAAATGGATAGACTACAGGGCCAGCCAGTCAGCCAGGAATTTGGCTGAGAGCCAGGTGGACTAAGCTGAATCGAAGAGGTGAGTCAACCAGATCAAGGAAGCAATGAGGCTCCCAGGCCAGGCTTGGTATCCCCTGCTTCAAGGTCAGGTTATAGACCAGGGGTTCCTACAGCAGTTCTGGAAATTGCAGGTGCCTGCCCTGGGGTCTCTGTTGGAGGTATTCTCACCAGGCCTGGGGTCTAGCAGCTGGGGCTGGGGCTGTGGCTGATGGGAGGGCCAAGCCCATCACTAGAGGCTGCTGTGCACATGGAGCAGTGGATCAACCGTTAGGGCACAGAGTAATTACTGAATTTCTGAAGGGCAGAGGAACAAGGGACTGGTCTAAGAGCAGTGAGAAACCACTGGCAGCTTGAAAAAGGAGCATTGCTAATATAGGTTTACATGGGAAAGAATAGGTTATTCTAGGATTTCTCATGAACACTTGGGGCACCTTTTGTTTATATTTTAGATATTAAAGCAAACAAAGCATTTTATTTGGGAGAAAAGTAAAGGGACAGATGAGCCCTGAAAGGCTGAGTGTTCTGACTAAGTTTAGATGTTATACTGCATGGCAGAGAGCCACATGAAACTCTTCGGTGTGCAAAACGGGGCAGAAATAATTCCCCAGCTTTTTACAGCCTTTAAATAGGTTCAGTTCAAGAAGTGAGTAAAGGGAGAGACAGGGGTTGTTCTTGTTCGTTCTGCTGGGATCAGGCACATAGCTATTTGTTCTCCTTTAGGAGGCTACAGATGTCCTGGTACAGGAGCTGGATGGTAGATGTAAAGACAGGCCCAAAACTGAAGGAGTCTGGAATAAGAAGTCATACTTGACCTGATCAAGGAGTTTGCCTAATCAGTCTTGTTTTCTGAGCTATCACTATCAGCAGTTTCTTCTGCTTCTGATTGTTCTGATCCTTCATTTTTATCATCTTTATGGACTTCTGAAAACTGAAGGTTTGCCTGGATTGAGACAAGCTTCTCTACTCTTTCACATGTTAGTTTATTTCTTGATTTGGTATGAGTATTTCCAAACGTAGACCAGTTTCTTTCACATGCTGCAGAAGATGGAGGAATCTGAAGCAGGTGAGAAGCAAGAGGAGTCAGAGGCTATGTTGTGCAAATGCCTTGCCACCATGTTGCAGGAGGAATATGCTTGATAGGGTCCCAGAATGCATTCCTGGACCAAATACCTGAAGATGTTCTATATTCTGCAACATTTGAAAGTACTTTTCCAACTTCAAGTCCTAAGTGTGTTGCTCATTTAGTAATCCAGTCAAATGCAGTAGCAATGCTATCATCACTAACATTTCTGCCTTTGAATCTTGGATCCAGAAGATTTGCAGCAGCATGAATTGATTGGCAACAAAATTGTTCCCATCTGTTAATAAGTCTTTCACTTTTCTTCTGTACTTGTAAGCAGAGATACATTTAGATTCTCAGAAACAGTTGATTTTATCTGGGCCATTTAGCAATGAATGTCTGACAAAAGTGCACTGTCTGATTAAAATGCAGTGATTGCTGAAGAAATTGGCTTTAGAATCTTCAGGGAGTTCTGCAGCTGAACCCAGAAGACATCCTCATCAAGTACAGTGTTCCTTACACCTCTGGGCACTAAGATCCTCAATTATTACTATTTCTTGAAGATCTTCTTTGCTTTTAGTAAACTTTCAAATGAGATCACCACTCCACCCCTTCTAGTTTTATTACAGAGTTTGAGGGTCTCTATTTGATTCTTTGCATTTTTTTCTTCCTGCTTCTTCTTAAAGACTGCAGCTACAATATGAGTAGCTTTTACATGTTTTATAACTTCTCTTGCTCTTCTGTAGCTCTTTTGTAGAGTGTCCAACTTCATGACATCATTAAGAAGCAAGTTTAGCCCATGGGATGCACATCCTATTGCAGTAATATGTGGATATTTATCCATTATGATCTCCCATGCTGCTTTCATGTTGCTTGCATTGTCAGTCAGCAAAGGAAATACTTTACCACTTCCAATCTTCTGTAGGTCTTCACATATTTTACTGCTGATATACTTTGCAGTATGCCTGTTCTCTTCTGTTTCAATGCTTCTGTAAAAAAACTGGTTGAGGTTCTGTTACCACAAAGTTTATGATTCCTTTTCCCCACACATGAGTCCATCCATCTGTAAGTACTGCAAGACACAGTGCTTCATTAATTTTTCCTTGCACAGATTGCATTACACATTCATATTCTGACTCTAAAAGAAGCTTGCTCAGAGAATGTCTGCTGGGCAAATAGTACGATGGTCTTATTAATTTAAAAGCTTCCTGCCAGTATGCATTTTCAGTTATTGACAATGGCATCCCAGGAGAATATATTGCTCTTGCAAGAGCTTGGTGAATTTTTTCCTCATCTTCATGTGTCATCTTGTCTACAAATGAAGCTATTGAGAGTCTTTTATATACAGTTGGTTGCAATGTTTGGTTACTTGAGGATGTTGATTTGGCACCCTTTGTGATGCTGATGTTATAGAAGAAGAAGAAGAAACAGCAGCAGCAGTAGGAGGACTTCTGGATCAAGAACATTGGAAAGAGCTACTTGTGCTTTCATCATCATGACCTACCTCCTCCTCACTTACACCTATGAAGGATTTTTTAATGTATGCAGGACACTTCTTACATACTAGGATGTCTTTGGTCATCCTAGTAGCATTTGGAAATGCATATTTCATTTGACAGTATTTGCAAATCACATTTTTTTCTCAATAATGTGCAGTGTGGAAATGCATCCATATGCTAGAAATTGGTTGCACCATTTTGCTGAAGGAGAAAAGGAAAAATGTAATCTAGTGGCTGGCTTGCATATATAAACATGAAGCTACAGCATGTACAAATTTAGTAATGGATGGAGGAGAGTTAATTGTGAACAACTTCCCTGCTCTGCAGGCCTCACCTCACTGCTAAGGTTGGGTGATTTGTCACAAAACATCAGATTAGTAGGAATTCAATTATGAATTACATAGGTTATGAAAATATACTAATGCAGTTAAAATATAGTTTAATGTACTGAATTCAGAGAAATTCAAACTCATACCTTTCAATAAAGAAGTATACTTTCTTTCAGCTCCTTTGTGCTGCTTCTGTATTTCTGTGGATCTCAAGGTCATAGGGCCAAGAGGAGGCAGGTTCCTTCCAACTCCAAAAGCTTTAGATTTGCTCTGTCTCCTCTCCTGAGGCTTTTGAGCAAACAGGGCAATAAGCTCCTTGTTTCTAATCTCTACAGGAACAAATGGATGCTGCTGCCAGTGTCCACTCCCAGTCCTTTGAGGCCAATCAGGAGGACAGGAGCAGATCCACCAACCTCTAGATTGAAAGCTAACAATAGGCAGAGTCCACAAGCAAAGAAGGCACTGAATCCTTCTTTCTTCTCTTGTGGAAATGGCAGTGGCTCCTGGGGACAGAAATGCATCTTGCTTTTGCATTTGGGAGTTGTACTGTACTGCTTGTCCTTGGTAGACAGGAATTGTAATGATACTGTAATAAATAAAGGAATTGTAATGATACTGATACTGTCTTACAGAAAAGTCTTCCTATTACATAGTTATTAGAAAATATTTTTGTGGAGTAAAGGGTAGCAATATATGAACACCTTGTTTTAAACATTTTATTCATCATTCTGAAAGAATATATTTCATAAGAGGTTTTTTCATTTTTCCAAAAATGTTCAATTTTTCAGGAAAAAAAAAATCTGTTTTTTCCCCAAATTTTTCTGGTGTTTTTCTGGGCCTTCACATCTCTATCCAAAAAGAGAACACCAAAGAGTTCTTTGGCAGCCAGTAGGTCACATAGCTGGGATGTCCTGGATGCTTATGCCAGGTAAGCAATAACTCTATTTTGGACCTACTACAGAGGCTGTGACCAGTTTGAGCTGTTTGGCCAGAGCTTTGATCAAGATTTTGCAGTCAGTACACAGGAATGGTATCGCTTGCCAGTTCTTAATGTTACCAATATCCCCTTTCTTGGGCAGCAGCATAAGGACTTTTCATCAGCAGCTGACTGGAAAGATCCCATCTTCAAGGCTTTCCTAGAAGAGGTCTGGGCTGAGGAGAGGCCAAAAGGTCTTGTAGAAATCAATGGGTAATCCATCAGTTATGGAACTTTCCCCATGGTGAGGCCTTCAACAGCAGCAGTTGGTTCTGCCAGGGATAGTGCCTATTCAAGTGAATCAACCTCAGATGCAGAGAGTTTGGGGAAGCCCTCGTGCAGATGTTGAATGGCCTCTGGGTAGGCAGGCTCAGCTGCAGAGAGGTCCATGTAGAAGCTCATGGTGTGTTCTTGTCATGGCAGGGTCACCTGGCCTGATTGGGGTTGTAAGGTGGATCATGATTTTTTGTTCTGTGCATTTTTTCTCCAGGTAGAAAAAGAACCAGGTTGGGGGATCACCCTCTGACTTGCTGGAAGCTCCAAAGTGGTTTGAACCATTAGCTGGCAAATGGGGACAACTTTCTAGGTGACCACTGCAACCAGTTTCAGTTTTGGTGAGAAGAGAATGGCAACACGCATGGTGGAGCTTGTGCCATGGCTTCCCCCTCCAGGCAGTGTGCCAGTCTGCTTTGTTGATCCCATCTGTGTTCATGTTTTGTAACAAGGTTAAATTTAACTGTTTCTGTTTCTGGTTCAGGAACTCAAAAGAGCTGCTCATTTTCTGCATCGATTTGTGTTGAGTAAGCCAACAATAAAGGTTAGCATTGTGAGAGATTTGAAAAGGTGACAGCAAAGGCAGAGAGGGAAGACAGAGAAAGAAAAAGGGGCTATGATTCAGAAAGTAGCCCAGAAAGTTGCACCTGGCAAGGGGTTTGTTCTCTACTAACAAGCTGCTTTTTTTGCTGCTCTTTTGTTTTTCTTTTTGATTTCCCCTTCAATGCATTGTGTTAACTTTTTTTTTTTGCTCTGAAAGCATACTGTTTCATTTCTTTCACACCTTGCAGTTTCTTTGTCACATTATGAGCTGAGGCCAGGAAAAGTTTACAGTCAGGGAGCCATTCAGGTACTTGGCTCAGCCTTCCAGGATCCTAATAATTTTTTCAAGGGAGTAACCTTCCCTGAATACATCCCTCAAGGAAACATCAGAGGACTGGTGGTTCTTCTGCAAAGGAGCACCATCCCCTACCCAAGGGAGGATCATTTTCCTCTTTGAAGTGGTGGCTTTTGGACACTAGGGTTATCAGAGCCCTTGGGTTACCTTTCTTTCCTCTTGTCCTTGGACCCTGAATCAGCATCCAGTTCAGGGCAAGAGGGGATGGGGTGCTGAGGCTGGGGGGAGTCATCTCCCCATCAGGGCTGTTACGGCAGTCCTGAGGGTGCTTCTTTGTCATGGGGATCTTCAATGTTTATGTCAAACCCAGCTATACTGGGGGGCTAATTTTTCTTAGTTGAAGCTTCTAGGTCTCATTTTCACTTCTGGTTTGTACCTCTGGGCGCTGGGTTGGGGGAGTTTAGCTCCCCAGAGTTGGCTATCTCAGGGGAGAGAGGGAAGTCCTGGAATAATTTCAAGGCATCTGAGGCAGACATTTTCTACTTCTTGGGTTTGGTTATGGCAGTAGGAACTGGGATTTCTTTTGAATGGACTGGGTGGGTTGGAGGAGAGCTTGGCTTCCTAGTGCCAGTAACCCCAGTAGCAGCAGAAGTACACTCAGTTCCTCTATTCTGTCCCTCATACTGGGATGGGGTAGGATTGTCCTCCCTCAGTCTTTGCCACAGCCTGCTTTTTCACTGGGAACTGACCAACCAGGTGGGTGGGGTGTCACAGGCCAGCTAGGCTCTGTGAGTGTATCAGCTGTGAGGCTGCTGGGTTTGGGATCGAGGAGGCGAGTCAGGAGTGAAGTAAAGGCAAATTTACTTATAGTTTAGCATACAACAGTTAACAGAAAAGTTAATGCAACAAACAGATAGTACAGTAATAAAGAGCTAATAGTGAATGATAACAACAGATAGACAGAATGACAAAGAGTTCCCACATGGGGTTGGCAACTTATCGGCAGTCCCCTATGCCAGGTCTGTGTCAAGTTGTTCCAGTGAAGTCAGGCATCCCTGATCAACGCTGTCCGAGGGGTCACTGGGAAGGTCCCTTGGTCAGGATCTGGTCCTCACTCACACTGGGAATCCAGGGTCTAGGCTTGGTACAGCAATGGTTTTTCTGTCCTGTCCTTCTAACTGGTCACTTGACATGCATGTTCCTTTATGCCTTATCTTATGCTAATCTGTTGGCTTTAGAGCCACTCACAATCTTGCCCTATAGCTGTTACCCTATGGGATTAAAAGGTGTTAGAAATTATCATGAAAGGTTACCGCCAGAATTTGGGCTTACCCAATAAGCAAATTATACCACATTACTTTGAGGTTTGAAATTAGCATTACCTGCCTACGCTTAACTCCTTAGTTTTTTATTCCTGGATTCCTTGGAATGTGCTGATTATATTAGGTGGTCAGATCCTGTAATGGCTTGACCTTTAAAAAACCTGTTAGATCAGTTAAGCTTGTAGCTCTGCTTATTTTTGGGGCTCAGTGGTCCCATGATTAGTGCAAACAGTTAGATTCAACACTTTGGTTAAATTGTGACAGACAAATTCCACTTGCAGGTTGCAAACTTGCAAGCTTTGCATTAGCTAATCTTAACTGCTTAGGCAATTGCCTGAATGCCTCCAAGAGCATATATTTATTGATCATGATAGTAACCCCTCTGGTTCTGGCTACGACAGTGGGGCTGCCACAGCAAAACTACATCGTCTCTATTGCTGCTTGCCCAAGTTGTATTACTAGGGTGGTTTTCAGAGATCATAAAGGACAGGAAGAACATGACCTGCTTGAGCTCAGGGGCTTTACAGCCAAGCGATATTTTACAAATGGGGCTTGTTGTCTTCCCATAGTGAGGTAGATCCTCACCTACCTTGTCAGCACAGATAAGGGGAGGCACTGGGCAGTATGACCTTAATGGCAGGGTTGTCCAAAAACAAAGTGTTAATGAAGGCACCCTTGATTGTGATGCTTTGCTCCATCATGTTGCTCACAAGGCTCAGGAAGTTTAAGAAAATCATGGGTACTCTGTTAACCTAGGAGGCCTATCTGATGTTGCGGTAGGCCACTACCTTCCCTGCTGCCAGGCTGCATTCCTCCACTCCAACAGAGTCAGGGGTGAGGAGCTGCAGACCATGGGCTCTTGAGAGATTAAAAAATCTCTGGCCATTAAAGATGGCCTTTCTGGCACGGAAAGAGATTTAAAAAAGAGTTCTCTGGCTGCTGCTTTGGGGGAGGGGTGGACTGATTCCATGTGTGGAGGGGATGAGGGAACAAAATGAAAGTAGAGAAAAAACAGTAAAAAGAGCAAAAAGTGTGCAGGTGTGTATGTTGGTCCATGGGTTTCTTGTATATGGTGGCCTGTATTTTACTATTCTGGATAGTGATCATGATCATAGTGCCTATGAAGGAAATATTGTTGCTGGAGTATTAAAGAGAGAGTCTGATGGAGGGGTGATGATTGTTGAATTTCTGATGGAAATTAATCAGAGATTGCAAGGTTTTGGTCCAAATGATGAAGATGTCATCAATATATCTTAAGTATAGCAAGGGTTTGATGGTGTTATCATTGAGAAATGTAGGCCACTTCTCTGAGAGCAGCTCTAATTAAAGTGCCACAGTGTCTCGTGTATTTCTTATTAGTATGCATCCAGCAACCTGACAGCTCATAAAGTCTTTGCCTTCGAATTGTGTTAAAGAACAATATTGAATTGATGATAAAAGTCTGGTTGCTGGCATGTATTAAAGTTCTCTCTTCTCCTTGTTTCCTCCCCCTCCCCTGTGGTTTTCATATCTTGTCTAGGAGGCTAAAGCATGCCAATAGCCTGGACCAGCTAAGGTCAGACTTAAGTCACATTTAATTTCTGGCATTCTGCTTCCTTTTATTATTTCCATCTGAACTACAGTGTCTGGCATCCCCTTGGACCTGCATGGTGCTGAAGAATTCCAAATAGAAGAGGGTTGAGAGGGAAGTGTTAAACCCAAGGATAATGCCATAAAGTGCCATAGTCACTTGCAGATCACTGGTAGATCTTTCTTATAAGAAAGCCAAAGAAGGGAAACTCATGTGAGATGGTTGTTAAAGGAGTGAGGCCTGCCAGCAGGATGAAGAAGCAGCTGAAGATTATGAGGACATATGTGTTTCCCTGAGGTAAACTTTCCTTAACTTTAAGAAAGAGGCACTGGAAAAGAACAGCTTCTTTCATGCTTTCCCCATTATTAGGCGTCTTAGTATGTCTTAGCGGAGAACGCATATGAAAAAGTTAACTGGCAATGACTCAAAAAGCTGCCAAGGG